CTGTTCAATTTTTTTTGGAGTTTAAGAAGGATTGACATTAATTCTTCTTTAACTGTTTGGTAGAGTTCACTGGTGAAACCTCTGGTTCTGGGCTTTTCTTTGTTGGGAGGGTTTTTGTTAAATTTAAACTCTTTACTAGTAATTGATCTGTTTTTATTTTCTATTTATTTTCTTTTTTACAAAGGGCCTGCATGCAGTGGTAAACCAGCCCAATTGCTTATTTACTTATTAAAAATTTAAAAAAAATATATTTTTATTGATTTCAGAGAGGAAGGCAGAGGGAGAGAGAGAAACATCAATATTGAGAGAGAATCATTGGTCAGCTGCCTCCTGCATGGCCCCTACTGGGGATCAAGCACGCAACCTGGCATGTGCCCTTAACCAGAATACTAGTAGAATCTGGGTTAGGGTTAGGGTTAGGGTCAGAGTCAGGGTTAGGGTTAGGGTTAGGGTTAGGGTCAGGGTCAGCCTCCCAGTGCAGAGAGCAGAGAAGAGGAGGATCTAGGGTGGTGGCAAATAAAAAATAACCAGCATGGTGACACACTTAAAATAGGATCTAATTAAAGGAGCATGGACAAGGTAGGAAGTGATGGTGTCTTTCCACAAAAGAAAATTAGTTTACTTGACAGTGCTTTCAGTTTAGGAATTGTAGATGAAACTGAGGGTGTCTCTATATATACCCAAATGACCTATTGTTGTTATCTCTCCAGTTCATTTGTCACTGGAAGAAGGCTTAAATTAGGACACGCCAAGTGATTTCTTGCCTATGTTCCTTTCCTTGTGATAGGGAGAGTATGCTGTCTAAAGATTCCTCACACAGACCCTGGATGGAAAGAAAAGAGGAAAGAATGTAGGCAAAACATAAAGGACTAGTTAGGTCATGACATTGGGTTGAATCTCTCCATAGACCAGTAGGTTCTGTTTTATTTAATGGCCATAGATTGAACTGTAGAAGTCACCTTACAATTGTGTGCTTTCGTTTAAAAAGCTTCTGAGGTTTGCGAGTGTATGCCAGTGAAAATTCATTACCACTGGTAGAGATCTCTTGGATGAGGAGGAAAGTGTTATAGACAGAGTTTCTTATTCTTAGTTTTCTGGACTTCATTTTGTTCATAGCTATACCATGCATTCTAGTCTGCAGTAAGGTTTATACGAGTGGGACATTTCTTAGAGGTTTCAGTTAATGAGAAATGTAACAATTGAACAATTAAATAAGTATTTTAGAGACCCAGGCTGGAATAGTATGACCAGAACATGATCAGGCTATCTTCTCTACTTGGGAGTTTTTAAAATTATCAAGTCCCATTAAGTTAGAATGTCTGGAATGTGGGGCCTGGGCATTGGGGTTTTAAAAAGTTTCCACGTGCCCAGCCAGTGTGGCTCAGTGATTGAGAGTCGACCCAAGAACCAAGAGGTCCCAGTCAGGGCACATGCCTGGGGTTGTGAGATCGATCCCCAGTAGGATGTGTGTAGGAGGCAGCTCTCTCATCCATCTTTCTCTCTATCCCTCTCCCTTCCCCTCTCTCTAAAAATCAATAAAAACATAAAAGAATTTCCGTGTGATTTTAATGCTATTTAGAGTAGAGAATGATTGTTCTTTTCTATTTTCACTTTTCACCCAGTAAATATTTTATGAATTCTATGCACATGGCACTTCTTGTTTTTTGTTATTCATAACCCAGCACAGATGAAAACATAGAAACTCCCACCAAGTGTCATGGCCATTTTGCCTGTCAGCATCACTGGTAAACTTTTTTTCATAGACTAATCTTCATAGGATTAAATAGGATTGTGTTTCTGTCTACTTTTCTATTCCTGGAGCTAAATATGAATATAAGATTAGTATCACATTAGTAAAAAGTCACTGGGAAGAGAAAAATTTTATTTTGTAAGTGTGATCCCATTTCACAGATGTTACGAATTGTTTGAAGTAACCTGATCTCATTTTCATGTGGTGGCATTTCTCATCAAAACAAAGACCTTAATTAATAAATATCGCAGAATGATGAATAACATTGCGAATTGTTCTTTTCTGCTGTAGGAAATGTGTTAGGTTGTTGTCAACAAATTACAGATAGTTGTAACTTCTATGAATTTAAAGTATTTAAGCTAAGCCAGAGAAAAAGGAATTACCTAAAGCAAGAAAAATATTTTCTTCCATAAACTCACTTTGTTTGTAATCTTTTAAATATGTTATCTATCCCTACTTTCCAGTTGAGATTCAAGAGATACATGGTTTTTCTCTAGATTTTGCAACTAGTAAGTGGTGAATTGGGATTTGATTACAGATCTGTTTGTCTCCCCTCCCCCCAATATTACATTGTCTTCTTATCCCTAGAAAACCTGGGAATTTAGATAGATAGGTGGTATTTAAAATCACTTTTATGTGTTTCTTTTTATCTATGATATGATTTAGCCTTTTTCTCCCCCTTAGGATAATACCCTTCAAGCTGCATGGCCCTCAACTGACGACTCCACCACCAGCAGTATTTCACTACTTGATTTCAGCTCTGGTTCTCCCTCAGCCACCGGCAAGGAACTCTGGTCGGAAAGACCGTTGGGTGATTTAGTGTCTACACCCAAACTAGACTTTCCCTCAAAGGTGGGCCTCCATTCTTCCCCAGAGGTTTTAGAGGTTAGCAGCTTGACTCTTCATTCTGTCACCCCAGCAGTGCTGCCGACTGGCTTGCCTGTGGCTTCTGAGGAAAGGACTTCTGGATCTTACTTATTAGAAGAGGGTAAAAAATTCTACTTCCTGTTCATATTTCTTTACTTTATTGTGTAAATGACAAGGGTTTTGTGGAGAGGAAGAGACTGGGGTTAGTAGAAGAGTAGGTTAGGAGGAAATGTCTTGGGAAAATTGTGTGAGAAAGGGAACAATCAGATTTAATTGTTTGGACTGGAAATGAACTTGGTAGGCTGGGGTAGGGATCAATTAATAGATATTTTGAAAGTCCCATTAAAATATATAATTAAATTACTATTAGATAACTATTTTACTTATTTAAATGTTGGAGTGGTAAACAAAGAGCATCAAAGAAGATTATCCCAGTAGCTTTTAATAGGATTAATTGTAGGGGCCAGGTATAGAGATTTTTAGCTTGCATTAGGCTTCATTTGGGAGGGAGAACCTGAACTAAGGAAGTTATAGCAGAGATTAAGGAATGAAAATCAAGTAGATGATTTAGATGTTGTGAAGGAAAGGAGAAATCAATGTGACTCACGCATGGAGTATATTTGAGAAAGAGGAAGATGAACAAAGTTGTAAATAATGAGTCCAGGATTTTGAACATTAAGTGAACCTGAAAGATGATGGACAATAAACATAACAAGGAAATAGAAATTTAAAGATAAACACAATTTCCTAGGGAATTCTCTCCCTAACTTTTCACTAGATTCAGTGTTTATTGTCAACATGGTTATCAGCAGTTTTTTTATTTTCATGGAGTAAAAAATAAAATAAAATAAAATAGAGTGTTTAAAGATGAATTATTTCAATAGCCTATATCTTGTTCTCAAGGAAGGTATATTCATGAGTGATTGTACCACACCACAAAAACATAATCATATTGTCCTGTTGTTTGCTGGGTCTAGCAAAGTACTAGTAAAAGTCAGCAACTGTCCTTACTAATCTAATGGAAAGAAACAGGAAGCTGGTTTTATTAGGACTGGAAATATATTTTAGTAACACTGTAGATTAATTAATGGAAAACTTTATTTTTAGGATTAACCAAAGTCGAAGGGTCAGAAGATTCTTTTTCAGGTGATCCTTTGCCCTCAAGTACATTAACTCATTCTGTACCAGAAGAAACAATACCATCTAAGGAAGATTCTGCGGTGTCTTTGACATCCTCACCGTATCTGGTCTCCTCTGTCACATTAGATCCCCTTGCTCAGGAAGTATCTACACCTCCTGGCTTGGACCCTTCGGCTTCCAAAGTTAACGGCCAATTAGAAGTGAGCACTTTGATGCCAGACACATCCATGGAAAAAGAGGTCATATTTGAGAATGGCTTAGGTTCAGGGTCTGGGGAAAAGGTGACTGGGATTACTTGGCCATGGAGCGACACTTCATTAGAAAAGAGCATTGAACTGACCAAATCATGGCTAGAAGATGAGGATTCACTTTTGCCAATTGAGAGTGTAGATGAGAAACTAGTTGTAGGTGACAAAATAGATTCCACAGACCGAAGTATTGAGCACTCAAAATATGGGCATTTTGATAGATCCACACACTTTTCAGAGGAAGAGCCCCTTGAGGGACCTACTGTGCCCTTCTCTGCAGAGACCACAACTCAATCTGCATCTCTAATTCTCTCCAAGCACACATCAGAGGTACCTGACATTGATTATTACTCAGTTACCAATGCACCTCCTCTACTGACATCTATAGCAATCTTTGATTCTACTGGTAAACCAGATCAAGTAGAACCATTTCTAAAGGAGGATATGGAACAAACTACAGAGCCATCCAATCGTAAACAGTTTGATGGCAAGATTTCAACACTGAAGCCAGATATGCAATCTCTGTGGACCATATTGCCAGAATCAGATGTAGTTTGGGAAAAAACTTCTTCCCTAGGAAAATTGTCTGGAGACACATTGGCAAGTGCACCGGAGAGTATTGACAAGCTCTGGTTGAAAGCTTCCATGACACAGTCTACCGAATTGCCTCCAACCACAAGCCCCACCCTGCTGGAGGATGAAGTAATTATGGGTGTACAGGATATTTCATTAGAACTGGACCGGATAGGCACAGATTACTATCAGCCTGAGCTAATCCCAGAAGAAAATGGCAGGGTTGGTAGTTATGTGGAAATCTCTACAAATGTTCACTCTACAGAGATGGCTGTTGTGGCTCACCCCACAAAAACAGGTGACTCAAATCATACCCAGGCCACAGGAGCATTGCTGGTTTTCTTCAGCCTTCGAGTGACTAACATGATGTTTTCAGAAGATCTGTTTAATAAAAACTCTTTGGAATATAAAGCCCTGGAGCAAAGATTCTTAGAATTGGTAAGCATAAAAAGTGAACTATGGGCAATAGTGAGTAGTCATGTATGAACCCACCCCTTTCTCCTCAACACATAAGATCTGAGTCAAGGTGAGTGTGGTCTGCTATAGACATTCATTTTTTTTAAATCAACTACAAATAATGTCATGGCCTAGAGTGTTAGGAAAGTAATAAGACAGGTGGATATGAATGTGGCATGAGGGTGATGTAATAGCTTAGATACTGAATATTGTATTCATGAATTCTGGGACTGAAACAAGTTTAAGATGTTTTTTTACAGTTTATTGTGAGACCAATGTTTTGTGGGTACCTGTAACACCTTCACTGTTGGGATACTTTAGTAGCAGAGAAAATAAACTCTCTGGTATCTAAAACTGTCTGTGAGTTCTATGCGGTTCCAAAATAGTCTATTAAAATCTCATGACTCTAAAATAACTCAAAACTGACACTCTTTTTCCTTAATTTTTTTTCATTTACAGTTTATATTCATATTATTTTATATTAGTTTCAAGTGTACAGCATAGTGGCTAGATAATTATATACTTTCCAAAGTGTTGCCCCTAATATTTTCAGTATGCAGTTGGAACCGTACATATTTATTACATATTATTGACTATACTAGAGGCCCAGTGCACAAAATTCCTGCATGGGTAAGGTCCCTAGGCCTGGTCAGTGATCAGGGCCAATTGGGGCCTTCAGGTTGCTGGCTGGGGCCTTCCTTCCGGCTGCCGGCCAGGGTCTCTCTTCATTCTGCACTGCCCCCTGGTTGTCAGCTCATGTCATAGTGAGTGATCAAACTCCTGGTCTCCCGGTCGAACTCCCGAGGGGACATTTTGCATATCAGCCATATATATATATATATCTCCAGTGCATGAATTCATGCATGGGCGGGGTCCCTAGGTCTGGCTGGCGATCGGGGCCCATCGAGGCCATCTCGCCCAGTCCTGATCAAGGCTGGCTGGCCGGGGAAAGGGACTGTGGGAGGTTGGCTGGTTATGAGAGGTGGGCTGTGGGAGCACACTGACCACCAGGGGGAAACTCCTGCATTGCACATCTGCCTCCTGGTGGTCAGTGTGCATCATAACTCCCAGCCAGTTGTCTGGTCATCCAGTTGTAATGGTCGCTTAGGCTTTTATGTATATAGATTTCCTATGCTGTACTTTACATCTCCGTGACTATTACCATTTGCAACAGCCTGGGTGGACCTTGAGGGGATTATGCTAAGTGAAATAAGTCAGAGAAAGACAAATTCTATATGATTTCACTTATATGTGGAATCTACAGAACAAAATCAATGAGCAAACAGAATAGAAACACACTCATA